GACTTGTCTGAGTGAACCCGGCAACAGTGTTTCGGCGGAGAGATCTTTCAGGAAATGCGCGACTGTTCTTCGAGATGATAGACGTAGTATAAAAAGTAAGAATCTTAGCATGTACAATATGCTTAATCATAACAGTGACGAAATGTGAGTTCTGGTCCTAGCTTCAAGCCTCCTAGGTTGCGCAAGGTAATTGACGACAGCAGACAAACATAAGCATGAGCTTTCGTTTTGCTTGTTCGGAGCTATGAAGCTGCCCTTGTCTTTTTCCCGAGTTAGCGCGATCCGTCGACAAAGCATCCGCCATAAGTCCGCGATTTTTGCTGGGGAGATCCACCACAGGTCCGCGATATTCCCGAAAAAAGTCCGCCACAAACGCCTAGCCCTAATGATGAATCATCCGAGACAATCGTCTTACGGAAACAAGTTCAACAATATACCCAATCAATGGGACCGTTTGTGCGGTCAGACCGGAGCACCTTGTACGCTGTGTGTCTAGTGACGCAGGTGAAGAGAGCTCGCATCTTGTCCGCGCGGGATCCCGGCGCGTGAATGAGCGAGCGATCTGCTCTCAACTTACCTCGCTCCCGATCGTCTTGTGTTTTGAGGCTCATCGAACAAGCCACGATGGGCACTATCGACTTGGCGATGAACCCAATGTAAGGACTCCACAATCAAATGATCGCCGATAGTTGAGGATGAATTTGTATTTATATTCCAAGGTAAGATGACATTCCTCCACGGTTGATCGTGCTAAAAATTCAAGTAAAGCTTCCGAAGAATTCTCAATCTTGAAGTGCACAATTTCCTTCGACAGAATATTTCCACCTTGGTCATGGGCGCCGTTCGTCCGGTTATCGTTCAGAAGAAATGAGGTGAAGACCGCTAATCAATGAGACAACGTACAAACCGAAGACCACAACAGCGATGGAAAAGCGTGAAAATATAAATAAGCGACATCAATGGTCCAGAGAGTCAGTCAGTCGATCTATGATACATAGGTGAACATCTTTAACGCAATTTCGGCAGTACTCCAAGTGATGGGGTTCGGGGAAAGTTTAAGGGAACCGTCAATGTGCGAGACCACTATAATTTTCGGAAACTCTGAAGCTTCGGACGGGCCTATGGAAGTAGGTTAGCGCGATCAATCGGCTCAACCCGACCAACCCGAAAATCTCTGACTATAAATGGAGCGGAGAACTCAAGAATATTGCACCGCAGTGGAGAAGGCTTAGCGTCAAAGTTTATATTAGGAAATAGTCAGCATAATGGAATTCAATAATTTCGCTTCTGCCCATGAACCGTGACGGCCGATACGATCGCGTACACTGTAGCATAGTCGAGCGAAGTCAATAACTCAGTTTGGCGATTAGCGAATATCTCTTTGTCGGTTCATCAGGTGTCCTCCGACTAATATTCGAATCGAAACTCGATCAGTTCTTTCTTTGTTCCTTGGAGTCGAACTTCATTTGACGGGGTAAATGAAGCGGTCCAGCTTCTCTCTTATTTGTACATGGATCTGCTTATCTTCTATCTAACTGCCGCAAACTATGAACATCGGGGGTCCACCCTCTGGTGGCTGCGTCACGATTTTCAGGGGGGGGGGCGTAAGTGAGCGACTGGGAATAATCTTGAGCATGTGAGCGTATATATATATTATCTCCTTTAAAACTGTCGTCAACTATGGATCTATGGCTCACAGTGCAGGTCACTCGCATATCGATGAACGGGATTCCTGTTGTATGGATTCAGCACATAGATTATGAACAGTTGCATGTTATTTAGGATGCTGATCGGGAGACAACAGGAATATCCCTCAAGCATGATATTATCGAGAAATATTCATGTCGACAAAATCCGTCGCCGGAGCCAAGCTCGGCTCACCGAAGAAGGCGAGATTGGAGGGAGACCTGAAGAATTTACCGCTCTCGTTTTCCTGACACCGGGCTCGGCAGGCCTCGGTGTTGCCTTGTGACTGATCGAAACTCGAGGGGAAGAAACTTTCTCGCGAAGATTCCCAAGATGGTCTGCTTGCAGATTGATTGGCAGTTGAATTACGATACATTTCCATCTCACCGTTCGTGCGGTTCGGGTCGTAGAGACCGAAAACAGACTCCTGGAAGTAACCCCCCTGGTCTTTTGGGGGCGTCGTTCCGGGCACTATTCCGACATTATTCTGTTCACCCAAGCTGAGCATCGACATCATCGCCGAAGAATCCATGAAAACCTGGTTCTTCGATGGGGACACGTGAGTTCTTCGCACCTCAGAAGCATCGTCGCGACATCTGTCGAATTCCCGATTCAAGTTCCGACGCAAGCCGATAGAACGTCCCTCTCTCATCGAAAACTCGCCGGGTCGAAGCAATGAATTACCGCTACCCGCGTCAGTTCCATGATGGCAACCATTGTTACAACCTTGACCCTCTGTGCTCAACAGGCAATTGCTGTTGTGGAACTTCGTACTGAAAGGCTGGCTGGAAGATCCTGATCCGCAAATGCTCCCGGTGCTGTTGGCTCGGCTGATGTTGTGGGCTTGCGCTGACTGCGGTGAAGCCTGAAACCCGTCAGAGGTACGAACTTATATCTCTTGTCCGGATTGCGGGATGCGTCTTTTCCTCGACATTATAGACATCAGTTGAATGAATGTTACGAGATATATATACATGAATGCGAACGGAATAGCGCTGGCAGCCGATGACTCACCCTGGCGGACGTCGAAAACCGGCTTCCCTCGAAAGCTTGCGCCGCTCTCTCGATCTTTGGCGTTGAGGTTCGCAATACCCGCAGCGCGGGAGCTCCGAAAGTCCTGGGCTGTTGTTCATCGACGCTTGCCAGACAATTCTCGGCACCTGATTGTTCGCCAAATAGTTCGTCTCCGAAGCCCGACGATGCGGTCGTCGCTCCGGTCGTATGCAATGTGTCGGAGAAACTAGGAGTGTCGTTTCGGCGCGACCGTTTTTCAGGTGTTTTAAATTTGTGTCTGAACGGCGAGCCAGTGGTCGGGGAGACAGTGTCTTGACTACAATGGAGAGCGAACGTCTTTTTCTGTTTCATCTGCTCCCAGGTCACGGCGGCTCGGCATGTATCCCGTCTGGTCACGGCTTCAACCTCGAATTTCCCATTATATTTATTTCTAGTAACGTAGATGATCTTCCCCGTCAATTCCCGACAGGTTAGGAGCGCTATTTCATTCTCCCACACTTCGGTGACCTCACACTGAACCACCATCACGTCGACAGGCTTCACCTGAAAGAAAAATTGTTGCTCATCGGAGTAAATGTCAATGAGAAAGAACGGAACTCGATTTCAACCGTTGTGGAATTCGGAACTCACTTGAATAGCGCGATAGTCGCAGTGATCTGTTTTCTTGTGCTGCTCGATGACGTGGAACTCTATCCGCCATCCAACAACCAAGCACGCCCTTGAAAATTGAGATTTTTCTTTCATACGGACCGCTATTCCAGACGACATAGGTGAAATAGTAATCCTGTAGGTCCTCCGTAATTCGTTCAGCCTCCATGATAGATCCACTGAGAAAGCTCTCGGGTGAGGTTCCCGAAATGGAGCTATTGGGCAGCGGAGTCGGGAAGCGGTCAACTCAGATAAGGGAGAAGGTTGGGTGACTTGAAGGATTCTGCGCTCTCACCTCTCTGCTTCCAATATGTCGAGATCCGAGTAATTGAAATGTGCTTCTCCAGTGTGTTTATCGCATTCGCATACGGCAAATCCATATCGTTTCGACGGAAAGAGCTTCTTGATAACGCCTTTGCAGGGTTCACCATCTCGACACTGCTGTAAGGATAAGTGACGCCTCAGTCCCTAGAGACGCGAGACGCGAGCAAAGCCTAGCGTTCGCAGATTACAATGATCAGAGGAAATGGAAAATGGCGAAATTTCGTCAGCGACGGGAGATCCACTCGCAGCTGTTCCGCGAGTCTCTCTTGGAGAATCTGCATAGCCGATAACATTCGAAAAGGACGGAGGGATCCGAGCCGGACGGGTCGGCTTCATGGGGAACAATTTGCTTCCGACTGCTGGGAGGTCCAGACCCTTCAATGTGGGGTTTCTCGAATTCTCGCGATTCGGGGGGGATCTCACCTTTTCTGCCTCCATTTAACGAAGGGGATGGGGTTAATCCGAAGAAGTCAAATCTCAGCCGTTCACTCGGAACTTATGCCGCCACAGTGACCTCTGGGATGATTACGATGCAGGCTCGGCGATTTCTGTTGAGCTTCGTTCCGCATGTGCATGTAGCAAATGCGAAGCGTGCACACATTCGTGCCGAATCTCGACGGTACACAAACGGTCGGAGCGACTTTGACGCATGTACAACACCCGAATCGGAAATCAGGATCATGATTCGGGTTCCACGGGGAATGATCCTTCAAATGAGTCGAGCCATCCTTCCTACCCGACGCGCCGTCTTCACGGAACGGAGGCCGTTTTAGGTATATCCACGATCCACTCCCGTCGAGTTCAGAACCGCTGAGGAGCGAGGACGCTTCTTCTCCCAAGTATAAGATCTTGAATTACGCGATGAGTGAATTAAATGCATATACATGGCAGAGACTTCCTGAATATTTCCATATTGGAACACCGACTCCCCAGACGCACCGGTTGACGAGCTCGCGTGTGAGCAATGAGGTTCGATTTGATTGAAGGAGTCGATGTTATTCTGGATCTGGAGAAACCAACGCGAACGCATCGTCAGCCTCTCTTTTACGAATCGAGGAAGATGCGCCATCTGGAGATCCATTGCGGAAGAGGGTCCTATATTATTCTCAACTCTCTAGGCCCGCTTGCCGACAATAGCGGTTGCGGGCACGATATTGAGAAGGCAAGCTGGAAAGTCAGAGTATGCCGCTAAGAGTATACTGATCTGCCGGAACCGCACTGCGATTGCATGTTAGCTGATTCTCGGAAAAGCCTATGAACTCGTAATTGATAAATGAGGAGTTCAAGACCTAGAACCGAGCGACATCGACTCCCTGCAATCGACGAGCCCTTGCCAACGTCTCGAGCCCAGCATAAATCATCATCATCATCATCATCATTATCTCTCGAGACATGATGCGTGCTCCGGTACCAACCATAATCGGTGTTTGACTATCGAGTGTAAACCGAGAACTCCGGATGAGCAGCTACTCTCCCCCGATTCGTCCCCTCTATTCTTGTTGAAGCTCTTGGGAACTCTTCTCGCTCTCGCACTCGTCGTTACGCCTGCCAAGACTCTCGTCTTGTCGCTAGCAAGTTGTCCTCCTTAGGCAGGGGGTCTCCCATGCAGCGCCGACGTTTGACTATTTGAGAAGATAAGCCTGCATGTTTGGCGGAGAATCATGTCATGTCTTCTGGTGGGGGAGGGGAACTTTTCATATTCCGTGAGTCTATCCGAGACCACGACTGATTTCGTCGCATCCTGTTTCGAGAGGCTGAACCCCAACTGCGGAGAAACGGAGAAAAATGTTGAGTTGCTGCGTCAGAAAGGTTAATTTCCGTTTTCAGCTGCACTTTGAAATTCCTAGAACCCGTTGGTATACCAATGGAGAAAAGTAGGGTAGCGGGGAACTTTCCTCACGACACTATCCGAGAACTGGAAAACACTCATGGTGTTCTACAGATTGGATCCTCCGGACCACTAGCCTTCAGACAATGCTGAGGATGCCTAATCATACCTTTTTAGAACGAAGCGAAGCACGAAAAAGCATTGGGTCCTCATTTCCAGCGGCGTGTTTGACCGTGTTCTGATCGCTAAGTGTCCTACTTCGTGATGGATCTGCGAATACACTTAAAAAGCAGAACGAATTTAGTAGGATCAGGAATCAGTCGCGCCCATCTCCGAGGTTGATCGGAGCGAAATTCCACCCTGCAGAATCTATCCCTCGTTCATGTGGAAAGTTTTATTCCTCAAGCGGAATTCCCGATGTATTGGAATCTGTCATCTACTTCGCAGGTATCGAAGTATGTCTCGACGTGGATGCTCGCAGCTTGAAGAACGTGCAGAAAATCCTGCGCCGGAACCATCCTTTCCAGCGAATAGTTTTCAATTTCCCTCACGTCGGTGGAAAAATGAGAATCGAGCGGAACCGTGAACTCCTTAGAGATTTCTTCATCGCTTGCCAGGCCGTTCTTGACCTTCAGAATGGTACGACCTTCCAATTGTTCTCTCGTTCATTCTACTTCCAAAGTTTTCGCTCAGGCCACCTCTTGCGTCGTATCCTAATAGATATCTCCGCGGCAGGTGTCGTTGATGTCGCTCTGTGCCGTGGCCAAGGCGGAACGCCACTCGACCAGGACCGGCGATTCGACGACACTTGGAAAGTTACCGAGATGGCCGCTCACGGGGGATTTGTTCTCGTCGAAGTGAAGCCTTTCAATGCGGATTACAGGAGAGTGGGCTATAGAAGCTTGAACAAATCCTTCAACAGCTCTGGAGCTTTGTTGCACACTTTCGCCTATTCCGGCAAGCCTGAGTCCCTGTCGAGCTCTACAGACGGAGACAATTTCGCGGCCCGAGACCCGTGCGTCGAAGCCGGAACATCCATCTTGAGAGTGGAGCGTCAGATCAAATATCCGTTGGAGTATGGTCTACACTACAGCTTTTGGGTCGAGGAGTCCGTCGGCTCCGTCGACGCTATTCTCAGGAGAACGATCGATACTCATTTCAAAGACCTCAATGTTGAGATAGAGCGATTGGTGAGCACATTCCCCAGAGGAAGCTCCAGAAGCTGGTGCTTCGCTTTGAAAATTTCCTGTGGAAAATATGCCCTGACTAAGGAGGACGCTCATGTCAGATTTCGCGAGACACTGAGCGAAAAACTTAAACTTGAGCTGCTCGATTCCGCCTGTCCGTAATCGGGGAATCAGCAGAGCTCAAGGGAAGCACCGACTGTTCCATGAAAAAAAATTTCCTCGATGGAACTTTAAATGATTGCGCCTCATAACTCACAACCGGAATTTCGCCAGACACAAATACGCACGGGCAGTTCCTTCTGATTTGCATCGCGTTTTCCGGGCCAAATGTACTTCAATGGTCTCGCGGTGGAATGATACAGCGATATCTCGAAGGGTGAGGATATCGACCGCAGAGGCGTGTGGAAGAAGGATCTGCTTCCTTCCCGCAGGAGTGAGACGATAGCCTTGCGCAGAAGATGAAAGATGAATAATTGTGCTCGCTCTGCAGTATTCCGCTGAGAAGTCTCGAACAATGCTGCGGGCTCGAGCACCGAATCGCAGATTGCTCAAGATAACGCCGAGATGATTGGAGGATATGGATTACTCCGGATGCCTTATCGTCGATAAAATTGCTTCCCTCCGCGAGGATCACCGTGACGGGGGCTGATTACGAGTTTCTGGCGATATGAGTCTCCAGATCTGGTACAAGTATATCGTACCAGGCTCGATCTTATCGATAAATCGGATTGGAAATCGGTGTAGATATCCAAGGAATCCCGCTTCCTTCGGTGCGTCCTTGACGTAGTTGATAATCGAATATTATATCGGAGACCGTGATCGAAGTCCAACGCACACGAGATGTATCGATATTATCATTTATTTCCCATAACCCTTCTGCTTAGGGCCGCGCGTCGCGATCCGGAGTCGTACATGATTCGGCGCTAACTTGATGTGTGACAGTGACGGCTGCGCCATAGTTCAGCGTGAACCCTGATCAAATCTGAGCGGCGAGATTTAGGCTACCTATCGCGGGCCAAGACTTTGCACATGACCAATAGGTTTCCTGATGGGGCCCCGATCCGCGAATTCAGATATTTTCCAGCATATTTCGGGATTTGGCAAACTCGAGATGATTCCATCGTTTATGGCTGCCAGCCGCCAGCTCTCAACTCTCAACGCGCATCAACATAGAGAAAACAACAAAATCGAGTGTTTCTCGATGAATATTATCCAACGTTTAGTGATTTCACCAATCAATGGTGCCGACCAGATCGAGGAATCATATTCTAAATGAAGTGTCGTTTCCCGGTTTCGCATTCTCGGTGCTCCAATACTGCAGGTAAGCTTGAGAAATCCACGAAGGAGTCAGAGATTTCGGAATCACCACCTAGATTTTCGCGTGAGGATGCTCCTCCGCCTTTTTCCGCTGACGGTGTGCATTGAGCGTATTCAGGCTCTGGATTACGTCGCGATCCCCGGGGCGTATTGGATGGAGTCATGTGGGTGATTCACTTATCGCAAATGGAACCTTCCCAGAAATTCCGTAAGCCATCAGCATAAAGGGCTTTCTCGCCTTTTCGAGATTCCTCATGGCCTCAGACAGCGCAAGCGATGAATGGCGTAATGATCGCGAGCTCCTGCACGGAAATTTCAGGCACGCAGCCCCAAATCAGGAATCCAATGTGCGCGGTTCCCCGATTGTGTAGTCGAGCGCCGCAAAGTTCCCGGCTAACGATCTCAATGACTTGAACCAGACGATGGAGTGATTCAATCCGTTCGCCCTCAAAATGTTCAACGTTTCACCGATGAGTTCGGTCCGCGCTTGCCGCTTCCGTCTAGGTGCTCTTGATCGTCGCTGCGAAGGGAGCGGTCGCTCTGTGCGTCGGCAGGCAGCAGCAGCAACACCACGAGAGACTTTCCATCGCCACCCGGAGCGGCGGCAGTAGCACCACCATCACCAGCGCTAGCTGCTGCGGTGACAACAGGCTGTATGGCTGGTGTGTGGTGTGGTGTAGCGTTTCTCTGGAACGGGAGAAGAACAGCGTAAGCGGCTACGGCCTGCGCTATTCTGTGAGGATCTGAAGACCAGAGTTAGTCAAGCAGTAGAGTTTCGAGAAACTCTCGATCACGGATTCGCTGAATGAGAGGAAGTAGCTCAACGGAGCTGTGAACGGACCGAGTTGGATTTTATTGGTCTCCGGTCAGAGTAGAATAGCGAGATGACTTCGAGTGACCACAGCTTTCGAATCGTACGGATTAGGTGAAGGATGGTCCTCCTTGCTCGGACGTCTTGTGAGGGTGAATCACGACTTTCGGGGAAGATCTCAGCTGACGAAGTTGTACCTCTGGACTGTCACGCGAGTTGCAGTCGGGGAGCTCAATCCGTTCAAGTGATAGAATGGCTCTGCAAAAAATTTTGAGCTTCTACGCTGGTGAGTTTCATGGAATAGGGTTCTGAGGCGATCCGAGCTCGTGGCTAATTCGCCGCTGGGTCTGTATAATAGATATATCTCCTGAGTCGGAATCAGAAACACGCGGAAGGCTCTCTGTGCCAGAGTCTGGCACAGTCGACATTGCTTGTTTTGCTCTGCCGATCGGATCGAATCAGATTTCTGGGC